TTCCAACACCTCAAAAACCACCTTTTCCGGCTCAAAAACCTTCAACTCCACAACCCACTCCACCTCCTCCTGCCCAAAAACCTGCTCCACAACCTCCTCTACCTCCATCTCTTCCGCCTCAAAAACCTTCAACTCCACAAAAACCTCCACCTCCTCCTGCCCAAAAACCTTCTGCTCCACAACCTCCTCTACCTCCACCTCTTCCGGCTCAAAAACCTTCAACTCCTCAACCCCCTTCACCTCCTCCTGCCCAAAAACCTTCTACGCCACAACCTCCTCTACGCCCACCTCCTACCCAAAAACCTTCAACTCCTCAAAAACCTCCACCGCCTACCCAAAAACCTTCAACTCCACAACCTCTTCTAGCTACACAACAACCTAAATCTCCACCTCAGCTTTTGCCTACACAGCCCTCTCAACAAAAATCAACACCTCAAAAATTAGCACCAAAACCTGCTACCTCTACAAAACCGCAAGAAATTATTCAACCGCCAATAATTTCTCCAACAAAAACTCTTCCTAAATTACCTCTACCTTCAGAAACTCTTCCTTCACTTCCTGAAGCTCTCCCATTAAAACAGAACAAATCAGTGGTTCAACAAAAAATAAAATGGACAGATGACATGGAGAGGGTTCTAACACATGTAATTGGAAAACCCCCTACTGACTTCCAAAGAGAAAATTATTTACCAATGATAGAAGGTCTTCTGAAGAAATACAGTTATCTAAGAAAAGACAAGATCGACACTGCTGTACAGAAACAAATTATAGATTCTATTTCTCTGTCTTTTCACAAAGATTTTAAGCGTTTTAAATTAGAATTTTCTCATCCAAATATTAAATATTTATCTTTCTCTCCTCAGCTTGGCTATGTGTTGGGGTTTGAAAATTCAAATATGGTTATGCATAATGAAATCGCAAAATATGGAAGTGATTTGAGAGGAGGGTTCTCTAGTTTTGCTGTTTACTCCAGGGGTTTAACAGAGAATATGATTGTAGGAAACTCACTTAGCTCATTATTGAGAGTTGTGTCTGTCTCCGGAGCAACACCAGGAGAATATCATGAAAAGATATACGACTCTCCTATTTTTATTCGTGTACTCCCCAAAGAAATTAATGAAATAGAAATTGAATTAAGAACAATGGATGGAGGAAGACTCGTCCCTTTTGCATTTGGAACAGTAATGATAGTCTTAATATTTAAAAAAGTTATAAATTTTTAATTTCATTTTTTCGTGTATATAAATACCCTTAAAATTGTAATTTACATTTAATATTTTGTATAAAATTTTCAAAAATGGTTCATGTAGTTTTTGATACAAGATCAGTTGGATATGAAGAATTTGTTCCTATGAAAGGAAGTGGTATTACAGATGAATATAATTATTTCAAAGGTTCATCACCTTTTCAAAGAGGTTATGGTAATTTACAAAATGGGGCTGGGATTGGTAATGTAATGAGGGGACTGTGGCGTTTCTTTCTACCAATAATTCGTCAAGCGGGAAGTACTGTAGCGGGTGAAGCGTTAAATACCGGACAGCGAGTGTTAGAGAGAGTAAATCAAGGGGAACCACTTAAAGCAGCACTTAGAGAAGAAGGAAAGAAAGGAATCGATACTGTTTTAGAGAAAGGAGGATTACCTAAACAATTCGGTACTGGTCGTAAAAAGGGTATAAAAAGACAAGCTATGCCATCATATCAAACAATTATTGGGAAAAAAGTTAGAAAACGCTTAAGATCAGACGCCTTTGGACTTTATTAAAAATGGCTTTTCAAAAAATTGATAATGAAAGCATAAATTCGATAACTAGTGCACTCGACTTCTTTCAAATTCCCCCAACTAATGTTACAGTAACCTCTTCTAAAGTATTTGAAATTCTCCCCAGCAATCCACTTACAGACACTCCCTACCATTTTAAAATTCATTCAAGTCAAAATTATATTGACTTGTCAAAGTGCTATCTTTTTACGGAACTTAGAATAAGAAAGGAGAATGAAAATGGCTATTTGGTAAATCTTGCACCAACAGATAATGTTGCACCTATCCAACTTATAGGGCAAACGTTTATTAACAATATGAAAATTAACATTAATGGGCGCGAAATTTTTAATTCAAATTCTTTGTACGCTTACAAAACATATTTGTCATACGAGCTATCGTACTCTCAAGGATCAAAAAGCTCCCATCTTAATGCCGCAGGATATTACTTTGGCTCAGATACAAATCTAGAAAGCGGAGTTGGATATGATGCTAGGAAAAGATTATTTTCAAACAGCAATACTGCACAATTTATTGCAAAGCTTGATGCAGATATTTTTAATCAACCTCTTTATTTAATTAATCAATGCGAAATTGACATTGAAATATTACCTAATGATGCAAAATTTGTTTTAATTTCTCCTCCAGTTCTCGGTATTGCCCAACCTACGCGTTACTATTTTGAAGTTTTGAATTGTAAACTGTACATTAAAAAGATGGATCTTATGGATGGATTAGCTTTGGACATTGCTAGAAAACTTGATACTAAACCAGCACGTTATGCGATAAGGAAAACAATGATGAAACCTCTCTTTATTAGCATGGGGAGATATGAATTTAATGCTAACCTCTTTAATGATCAAATACCTAGAAGAATAACACTTGGACTTGTCTCTAATTCTGACTATGTTGGACATTTGGGACGCAGTCCTTTCAACTTTCAACACTTTAATGTTCGAGAAATTTCAATAATCGCGAACGGGCGTAGCTATCCTCAAGCTCCCTATGACTTTGATTATATGAATGGAAAATTTGTTAGAGCATTCAATGACATGAATGAGGCCATAGGACTTTCAAATTCATCAGAAAGTAATGGAATTACATATCAACAGTATGGCACTACTCATTGTATATACATTTTTAACTTGACCAATAGCGGTGATGATCAAGGAGGACTTTTTGATCTAATAAAGAATGGAACAACAGCGGTGAATATTAAATTTAGCCAGCCAGTACCAGAAGGAGGAATCATGCTTGTAGCTATGGGTGAAGCAGATTCACTGATTATTTTGGATAAAAACAGAACTATTGCAAGTGACACTACTATATAAACACATTAAAATTGTACATAGCTTTACTAATATTTAAAATGAATAAAATATCTATAATAATTTTTCTTGTTCGAATTTTTTCTCCTCATGTTGAAACACTAAGTATAGATGATATTTCCAAGGTGGAAAATCTCCCTGAATATGCAGAATATTTAGGGAAAAGAACTACAACCGAGACTAATATCCCTATAAATTTCCCAAATTTTCCTACTATTCAACTTTGTAAAGAAAGTCCCGGAGAAAATAATATATATGGCCATATTTTCTGTTGGGGAATGATAGGGTTGTATATTCTATTTGTGATTAGCCTTATTATTTATCAATTACGTTCATTTCTTTGGTTAAAAGTAGTACTTCCCAGAAAAAAGTTTAAAGGTAATTTTCGTTGAAAAAATGATCATTTCTATTTTATAGAAGAAAATGAACAGTCATCAGATAACTGTGATATTGAACTCAAACCCAGAAACGAGAAAGATTTTCAGAGGCTGCTTCCCGTGTGATTCGATTCCAACGAATGATTTGAAAAAATCGATTTTTATCGTCAATTTGGACGCTGAAGGAATGAAAGGATCTCATTGGATATTAATTTTTATTAATTTTAATAAAGTTTACTACTTTGATAGTTTAGCCCTCCCCATAAGTACTTGTATTTTTAATTCATTTCTTAAAAATTTTTCCAATGTAATACATAATGTTAAAGCCTACCAATCACCTATATCTAAAACTTGTGCACACCACTGTATTTCGCTAACTTATTTCTTATCTCAAGGCCTAGCTTTTGAAAAATATTTAGAAATGTTAAACACAAAACAAAATCCTGATTTATTTGTTGTAAAAGTGGTAAATAAATTGATAAAATAATTCATGGTGTTGTAGCAAAAAGTGCACAATCAGTGCATAACCAAAAAGAATAAAAGAATAAATTATCGGTAATAGGTATAAATGTCTTTCGATGCTTCTTCATAAGATTGAACTTTAAACATTCCTCGCACCAGTGCCAACCAAGGAAATAGTGATAAATAAAACTGCAGCGAGCACCCTTATCAAGCTTCTCTCCTTTCTTCAGAGATAAATTTAAAGCGGTGAGATAGCTGTGTCGAGTACACGTCTTGTATTGACGAAATCCCTTTAATTAATTTTCAAACTAATTTAAAATTTTCCGTCAACCTCTATTTCAAAAAACTTTTGCTCTTCTTCTTGAGACATAATATAAAATTAAAAAATATTACTGTAATTAGCTTAAAATATGGTATAAAGGAAAAATATAAATTGAAAGAAAATCAATCGCTCAAGGAAAATATTACTGTAATTACCTTGAAGATACGGTGTGAAGGAAAAATAGAAGTGAGAGGAAAAGGGTGGCAGGAGTAGCTGTATAAATATAAAAAGAATGGAATTTAATTTAAAAATAAAGTAGTGAGTTCAAAGGGAAAGTGCGATGAGTAGTAGAACGGAAATGAACGGTCAAGCGGGTGGTGGAAGGGTCCGTGGTAATTAAGGATTAAGACTGGATGAAAGAGTGAGTGAAAAATTTTTAAAATTGACTCTATTTAGGAACAACATATGATGTTTTTGAACGTTTGGAAATAATTTAAAGACGGAAATAATATATAAATATTGATTTTTAAACAAACTATTCATTTTTCAATTTTTGTTTTGTATTTGCTAATCAATAAATATATTTAAATTGTTTATTTTTTATTAATAGTTTTAATTGTTTGAAGTTTTGAATGGATAAAAAATCTAATAAACGACCACGTGAAATGGAGGATCAGCCTCCACCAAAACGTACTCGTTTTACGATTGAAAGTCTTATTGGACTTCAATCGATATTTTCTATAGCTAATTTACTTGGCCTTAATAATTCGTCAAATTCTACAAATCCTTCAACAAGTCAACAACAACAAATTGGAGAAGGTACTTCTAAAAAACCAGAGGACTATGTGCAGCGACTTGAGACAACAATAGATGAAAATCGAAAATTTAAATTTATTAAAAGCCGCAGCAAATTTATGATAAAGGATTTACCTCGAGACCCTGAGGGGTTGTTAAGTGGTTGGTTATTATCTTTATTTTCATATTAAAACTATTTTATATATTAAATGTTTTCAGGAATTTTTCAATTTTTCCTCGATGAGGCTGTGGAAGAAAGCCGAAAACGTGGTATGAAGGCAGAACAACTAGGATGTGTGGTGACCAGTCCACTGCTGGACCACGATATATGGGTACCGGTTAGGTAAGCGACATTTTACAATATTAGGCTAAAATTTTGATTTTTCAGAGATATAAATGAGAACTCGGTTGAGTCTATCCTCAACCGATTTCTATTGGTGGCCCAGAGTTTTAAACAGAAGGATGTGACTCTATGGGGGCAGCCATTTGAAGTAATAGCTACTGTTGTGGATAAGAGTAGTCTATCAGTTGAGCATCAACTTCCAGGTGCTGGAAGAAAAGTGCCCGCTGTTCATCATCAGATTAACAAAAAAGCACTGATTAAGGCTGGTTTACCGAATTTATAATGTAGCAATATAGAATAAGATTGTAAATTTAAAAAATTTTTGAATTTATTTAATAGTAAAATTGTTAATAAAAATTGGGAATTAAAAAAATAGGACTTGGGTTAAAAAATATTAAATTAATTTATTATTCTAGATCCGCAACGATGACTCCTTCTGCCTTTTTTATTCTTTAATGGCAACACTTGCCCATGGAATATTCAATTGGCATTGGGAAAAGTTCTCCCGTTATCTACGCAACGAGCATGGAATGTTCAATAAATTTAAAAATGATACAATTGAATTAATGGAAAATGTTGGAGCCCCAATGGACTTGGAGTTTTATAATGCAGAACATTGGGTTCCACAAGTTGTGGACTTTTGGAACAACAAATATAAAGGACAACATATTATTAAAGTTTTTATTTTTGGTTCAATTGGGCATTATGAACCAGACTACAAGTATGGGCCTGATAATTTCGATACTCCTATTATTCTTCTGTACAAGAATGAACACTTTGATGGTGTAAAATGGGCCAATGCACTTTTCGGTCAACCATACTGTTTACACTGTGAGAAAGTTTATGCCCGAGCCTCTACACATACAACATCTTGTAAAGCTCGATGCATCAAATGCTCGCGTGTTGGTCCTGGCTTCCCATGCAGAATTGTTGCAGCATTCAACAAGCTTTGCCAAATCTGCTCCAAGATATTTTATAACCACGGATGTTATCAACATCATTTACAATCTGGGTTTTGTCGAATCTCGAAACAATGTGAAAAATGTGGAGTGGTGTGGAATGTGAATGATAACAACAAAAAAGGGAGAAAAGGACATGTATGCAGTGAAAAATACTGCACTACATGTGGAGACTACCACGATCCAAAGAGAGGATGTTTTATCAAACCTTTGGAGCTGAAAAACAACAAAAAATATAGAATAATCGCTTTTGACTTCGAAACGACACAATATTTACCTTCAGCTGACAACAAATGTAAACGTCATGAAGCTAACTTTATTTGTGCCAAAGTTACATGTCCAACATGTATTTCTGAGGTAATTTTTTTAATCTATTTTTAGAAAGGACAATTTTTTAGAAAAAAGATTGCCAAGTATGTGGTGAAAATCGTCTTATCACCTTTTCTCATCGATCTTTCAATGGGACAAAAGTTGATAAAATGGTTATCTCTCCCAATCCATTGGAGGCTTTTGTAGAATGGATTTTAAATGATCTGCCTCAACAATATGATACTGTGGCTTTTTCACACTTTGGTGGAAGATTCGACATGGTTCTTGTCTTTAAGGAATTATTTTTGAGAGGTAAAATTTTATTTTTTAAATAAAAAGAAATTTTTTAAGGATATACACCTGAAATGCTTAAGAGAGGCAACAAGATGTATGAAATGAAATTAGTCTCTCGAGGTAAAAATAAGGGCAGCATTTTCTTCAGAGATTCATACAATTTGATACCAATGTCATTGGCTTCTCTTGTCCCGGCTTTTGGGCTTCAGGTTGAGGATAAACCATTCTTCCCTCACCTCGCGAACAACCCTAACAACTATGGAAAATACATCTTTCCATCAAAGAACGACTACTTGGCAGAGGGAATGATGCCTGATAAAAGGAAGATCTTCGATCAATGGTTTGAACAACACCAGCATGAACCATTCCAACTTGACGAAGCTCTTGCTTCGTATTGTACCAATGATGTCGAAATTTTGATGGCCGGACTCATAGCGTTCCGTAAAGAATTTATTGAGGTACATTACAATTTAATAAATTTTCAAAACAAATGTTTAAGGTTTCAAAAGGAATGGATGTTCTGAGAGAGGCTATGACCATCGCTTCAGCTTGCATGAAGCACTTCAGGACCAACCATTTGAAGGCTGAACATATTGGGATTGTACCTGAACGCGGTTATGACAACGCTGAGAATCAGAGCCGAATTGCCTTCAAATTTATGGAATGGTATGCTGAAGAAAATCATGTTGAGATTCAAACAGCTTATTCGATTGAAGGAGAAAAGAGGTAAAATTTTAATAAAGAAAATTGTTTAGTAAAAATTTTAAGAATTGGTAATTATCGTTTGGATGGTTGGGTGGAGAGCCAACAACTTGGTATCGAAATTAATGGCTGTTGTTGGCATGGTTGTATTAAATGTTATCCAGACGACAATATTGTCTTACCCAATGGTAAAACCGCTGGACGACAACGAGAGCAGGACAACAAAAGACTTGAGTTCATCAAGTCTCAAATTAAAGTGGAAGTTTACTGGGAATGTGAAATATTGGACATGGTGAAGAAGGATAAAGAAATGAGACAAAAGTTTAACAACTATATTGACAACGGTCCAATCGATATCCGGTCAGCATTCTTCGGAGGAAGAACCGGGCCACTTAAATTGTTTCATCAAGTACAGCCTGGAGAGAAAATCAGCTATTTCGACGTGACCTCCCTTTACCCTTTTATTAATGTCACAACAAAATATCCTACTGGACATCCAATAGTGCATGTTTTGAATGAAGATGTTTCCTGGGCCAATTCTAGGGATAACAAGTTCGAGCTTGCCATACTTAAGGTATTTTAATTTTTTCAAAATTTTTAGTAAGTAAAATTAGGTCTTTGTGATTCCACCCCGAAAGATCGATGTGCCGGTTTTGCCTGTGAAGTTTGACGACCGACTACTCTTCCCGCTTTGTGCTACATGTGCTCGCCTTTTTCCTCAAGGATCTGTGAACGAGGACTATACCTGCGAGCATGAAGATCGGGATCGAGGATGGGTGAGTACATGTACATCAGTGGAGTTGAACGCAGCGCTCGATGAAGGCTATCGAGTAACTAAATTATTCCGCGTCCTCGAATATACTGCTTCTGACAGCAGACTCTTCAGGCCGTATATAGCTGAGTTTATGGCTCAAAAGATACATGCCAGCGGATTTGACGACAGTATCAAAGGAAACTTTGAAGCCGAGGAGAAATTCATCAGAGAATGCTCTGAAATGTTTGACATAAATATTGAACGTGGAAAGATGGTAAATTTATATAATTAAATTTTAAATATTAAATTTCCAGGTAATGAATAAGGGGAAGAGGACGCAGGCAAAATTATGCCTCAACAACCTTTGTAAGTCTTTATTTTTTAATAAAAATTTTTTAATCTTGATAAAATTATTTATAATTAAATTCATATTAAGGGGGTCGCTTTGCCTTGAGAAACTTTGGACTAAGTCAATGCACTGTGACAGACCGTCCTTCAACACTTAGAAAAATGTTGGACGATAGCACCAAGGAAGTTTCTGGTGTTGATGAGCTCACTCCACTTGTAGTACTCATCTCACATCTGACCAAAAAGGATTTTGTGGAGGAGCATGAGTGCTCAAATGTCGGTATGTTTTATTTACTTTAAATTAAAGTTAATAGATAATTTTAGTGATCTCACTTTGGACCACTGCTTGTGCGCGCATCCACCTCCTGAAGGCAATGCAAAAAGTTGTCAGGACACCTGGGTGCACCCTACTTTATACAGGTGAAATTAAACTTTTTAAATGAGTTTTAAAAAATTTGAATTAAAGACACGGACTCTTTAATCTTCGTACACCCTGAGGAGACGTGCCCACTCCAGCTTGGTCCTCACCTCGGCCAATTTACCAATGAGTACCCTCGACATGACATCCTGGAGTATTGCTCAGGTGGTGCAAAACAATACGGCCTTAAACTTCAGAAAAAAGATGATCCGGATGCCGATTTGGACTATGTGCTTAAGGTCAGAGGAATGACACTTAACTGGGACGTGGTCAATAAACAAGGACTTCGTTATGAAACGTTTAAAGAAAAAGTGTTAAGTTTTGTTAACGATGGCTATTGTGACCCGATTAATATTGTCTACCCACATTTCCTCAAGCCATCTGTGAAGAAAGGATCTGTGTTCACACAGCCTCTTCAGAAAAAATACCGACCCTTTGTTGGGAAAGGTGTAATACGTCCAAGTGATCATAAAGTTTTAGATTTTGGTTTTAATTTGTAATTTATTTTAAAAATTTGTAATAAATTTTATTTTTTGTTTGCAAATTTAGTTAATAGAAGTATAAGAATTTAGGCGTAAAATTACCAAATTAAGGTTAGGAAGAAAAGGTTTAAAAATTAATAAAAAGAAGAGGTGAATTTAAGGGGTAAAATTGCGGAATTAGTAGATAGGAAATAAAATTTATTTAAAATTCAAAATTAAGAAAAAGGAGTTTATGATTATAGGGGGAAAATTACAGAATTAAGTCAAAAAAGATTAAATTTAAAATATTTTAATAAATAACTTGAAAACAATTTATGTATGTGTGTGTAATATGTGAGTTTGTGTAGGCTTACCAGCCTTCCATCTCATCAAAATCATCTTCAAAATGTAGAGTATCATCCATATTCTTGTCTGAATCACTTGTTTCTTTATCAATTTTTAATTTATCGGAAACTTCAGAATAGAGTGGTTTATCATCAAGTTGAAAACCAATGTAGTCTTCCTCTTTTTCATCAACAAACTCCAATAATTCTAGAGGATAGAATCGATCTTCGCAACGGCGCGGGAAGTGTTCAATTACACATTGTAGATAAGGATATTGCAGACGAATCCGATGCCGTGAATAGAAATGTGCTGCAACAGAAACATTGAAAGGACGAGACAAAGCCCCGTAGGCCATAGTACAATGTGCTCCTTTGTAAGTAAGACCGTTAATAGTGAAAGTCTTGCGAAATCCATTCCTATCTGAGTAGAGGGTGCGCACTTTTCTTCCTTTAAGTTTTGATACGAGTAATGCTCGCTTTGATGGGTGATGTATCTGATCACGCAATGATTTAGGGTGACA